AGGACTTGATGGTCTGCCCTACAAATTGTACTTGAAGCTGTCACACATCTTTGTTCCGATTTTGACTGTTGTGTTCAACAACTGGTTCCACCAGGGGTCCATCCCCAACTGCATCTCTAAGAGTGTGATTAAACTGTTGAAAATCACAATGGTGGTGGTCAGGATTTAGATGACTATAGGCCTATTTCTCTGCTAAACACAGTGTTAAAGATTTTGGCCAATTTGGATCATTCATTTGCATTCAACTGGGTTGATCATGAGTACCTGGCTGCTGTCCTGCAGGCCACTGGATTCAAATTTGATTTCTGCAAATGGATCAGCTTCCAGTATTGCTCATTCAGTGTTGTGGTACAATTGAACAGAAAGCAGTTGTACACTTTTGTGCTGTCTTGGTTAGTCCAACAGTTGTCCACTGTTGCCTCTACTTTATGTGTTGACATTGGAGCCTCTGCTTTGCTAGCTAAGGGACAGGGCATACAGTCCAGCTCTACACAGAATTGAGGCACTTCAGCCAGGGTTTCTGCGTATGCTTATGACATTTTTCTGTTACACTGCAGTGACTTTGAAGTGGTACAGAAGGTGCTTGAACAGTATGAAAAGGTGACTGGGACCAACATTAACTACACCAAGTCTTCCAGTTTGGGTACCTGGAAGAGGGTCATACTTCCGGGATCCTTTAGTTGGACAGACCTATCCGTATTCTTAGAATGTGGTTCGGGCCTGGTCTTCAGCTGAAAAAAAATTGGTCTGAAGTACAGTTAAAGGTCAGAGCAGCAGTCCAGACTTGGCTTCGATGGCGGTTGTCCGTAAAGAATAGAGCTAAGGCATGTGCTACTTACGTCTTTCCTCTTATCCTTTATGGATTGGCTGTACTTACTCTCTGCAGGAACTGAAAGAAGGTGCTCGATGGCTTGTTGTCCATCCTCTTGTGGGATGGATGCAAACATCAGGTCTGCAGAGGTTGTTACCCAATGTCCGTGTCATGGAGGGGCCTGGGAATTCTGCACTTGTGCCACCAGCATGCCTCAAGGTTGGCTTTCCTATGCTATGAGTTGACAGAGGACTCTGTCTTTGAGGGGAGTGTTAGGGACATCTTCCTTAGCCTTACCATTACTCCTCCCATTTCAGAGGGCTGACCACCATTGTAAGCCCTGGAATTAATTGAGATTCCTCTGAAAGTATTGGGCGGCCTTGTGGGTCATTTTGCAAGTCCAGTGGCTTGATAGGCTATCATAACCTAGTGGAGGGGGGGGTCACAATGGATCATCTATGTAGCCGGCTCAGCTTGTCAGCATCAGAGTTGCACTCTTTCTGGTCTTGTGCACCAGTGGCGTATTATCTCAACAACACTGGGTTTTGGCTTACCTGGTGATTGATTTGGAATGTGCTGTCTCTCACTGATGTAGACTTCATAGGGGACTGGGCAGATTTGCCCAACTGTCATTGGTGTGACCTTGGTTTAGAGGAAACAGCTTTGTACGCCTTCTACCATTGTCTGTCAGGTGTGCCATATGTCAGCAAGTTGATAGCTTGTATCAATCCCAAGCAGCTTATGTCCATTGATCTCGCATACTTGTGCAGTAATGTGTCACACCAATTCTGTTTTAGTGGTCAGGATAATGATGAGGAATATAAATTGCTACCAATTTGGGTTCTCACTTGGGGGTTTAGTTTGTAGATCATGTTATTACACACAATAGTGATAAGGAAATTTAATTATAAACTAGCAGCATGGCCCGGCGTTGCCCGTGCTTGATTCAAAAATCGTATGACTCATACAGCAATCACTATCACGTGACTTAAAATATTTTTGCCCTTCCTTGCCTTTAAAGGAGTGCCCTTTGCCATGCTAATGTTGCTACATGCCTTACTTCTATGCCTATCTCACACTGCAAATTTTTTCTAAGCTCTATACTAAACATTAAATCTGTTACGAAAAAAGAACTAAACAAAATGAACACAAAACGATCAGCTTTAAAAAGGACTAAAAGTAACTGGAAAAACCAAATGAAAAAAAGTATGTTAACAACAAATACTTTTTCACACCCAACCCAGTTCTGCAGAATCAAAATCAACGTTGAGTTTAAGCAAGTGAATGAGCCAATTGGAGTAAAGTGCTATGCAGATTAAAATTTTTCCCACTTGTGACGAATGCAGCTATCGATTTTTAAAATTTTTTTTTAGCATGCTAGTTAACATTCATGTCAGTCAGCTGTTGGCTCTCACGCTGGCCAGTAGAATCTTCCTGCCTATTCGTGGCAGCCAGCTATAGGCTCTCACTCTGGCCAGTAGAAAATGGCCGCAAACTACATGAAAAGTGCCATAGAAGCATGAAAAAATCGATTATTTCCACTATCAATGGTAGTTGGGAAATGCAAAGTCGGTCTTGGCCTTCCCGCTAACTTGGAGCATGTGCTTGTAAATTTTGGTGCAAATCCATCGAAAATTGCGGCCATGCATTCGTTACGGACACACACACGCATGCACATCCTGCCGTTTATAGATAGAGATATAACATAAAGTATTTTTTTCTTTTTTCTTTCTGTTTCACTTACATTTTTTTTTCTTTTTTAGCATTTAGTCTCTCTTTCAGTTTGCCTTTCTTTCTTTCAATTTCACTTTCAGTTTGTTATTTATTTCAGTCTTATTTTATCTATTCTTTCTTTCCTTCTCACTTTCCTTTCTTTTTTCCTTTCTTTATTTCTTCTATCTTGTCAATTATTCTCTTTACTTCTCACTTTAGATCTGTTATTTTTTTCCTTCTCACTTTCTATCTGTTCTTTTCTTACTTTCCTTTTGCATTTAATTTCAATTTACAAAAAAAAAAATTCAAAATTCTTTTTAAAATATTGGTGGGTGGGATCACTGAATTGTAGTAAGCTTTGTTTAGTAAATAAAGTTTTTACTTAATAACACTATCACTTAACCGGTACAAATTAATACAGAACATGGTACAGTGGATAAAGGCATTGGTTAGATCCAGTGACAGGACCCAAAAAGTGTGGGTTCAATACCCAGTTAAGGCAGTGGAGAACTTTCCGAGGGAAATTAACAGGAGATAACTGATAACTGACATCCATTAAGCATGGCACATGGAACTAGAACAGTCTACCCCAGTGAGCGAAAAAAAGGGTTCAGTCCAACATTCCAACCACCTGAAGAAGGCCGGAGTATACAACGGCCGAAACATAATAAATATGGCAACAAAGATGAGGACAATACTCTGAATAATGTAAATAATGTACATTATTTATCATCTCTCAGTTGTGTGTTTGGGCAGAGTGAGCTCAGGAGAGGCTCCGTCAAAGGACAGAGTTGCAACTGAGGAAAATTATACTGAGAGGTGCCCAGCCCTGGGGAACAGCTGTCCAAGGTCGTGCCCTCTCATTGCACCAGAGAGTGATCAGTGCTTGATGTTCTTTGGAGCAGGTGAGGAGGGATGTTTCCACTGTATGGATTCTGTCTTTATTTCTGGCCCAAAGTGATAAAACCAACTGTGATCAACTACTATTGTGTACTGATGTTTTAACTTATCAATGCATGAGTGATGTAATGGATAGTGACTCAGAATTAGAAATTGGAGAGCCAAGTTCAAATTCATTACATTTGCTTACATACAAATACCCTTGAGAAAGATACAAATCCCTCTTTTCTCCCCCAGCTATGGCTTAAATAGTAGGACTTGTATTTGGAAAAAAAAATCACTTGTTATATCCCAAAAAATTGTTGATTTCATATTCACACACCTAAACAAGAATTATCCTGACTATCCAAAATAGGTTTGAGTTTTAAATAAACCACAAAGGGGTTGATAAACCATAAAAAATGAATTGTTAATGCTTTAATCTTGTGAATTGAAGTTAACACTGAGGTTAATCTTCCAATATAAGCATAGCAACTTTGTCAATGAATGCCAAATGTTTCCTTTTAAGGAAATGTCTAATATTACTATTATGTCCATGTCTCTCTCTTCCTCTTCTCTCTACTACTCACTCCACTTCTAATCTCTTCCACTCCTACTCTGTGTTTAAAAAAATATTGTTTCCTTCTGTTTGCTCACAAGAAAACTTGTATCTGATAGTTAAAGAAAAGGTCAGATAATGCCAAATGTTTCCTTTTAAGGAAACAGCTAATATCACCATTATGTCCGTGCTTCTCTCTTCCTGTTCTCTACTGTTTCTTCTCTCTCCTACTCACTCTACTTCTAATCCCCTCCTCTAAAACAAGAATTATTCTTACAATTCAAAATGTTTCAGTTTTAAATAACCCACAAAAGTGTTGATAAGCTGTAAAAAAAACAAAAAAAACAAATAAAATACAAAATTATTCTTGTAAATGCTAAGGATATCATGGAATGAGTGTGTGAACAACAGTGAGGTCTTAGAGAGGATGCAAACAAGGAGGAAGCTTATACTTAACATCAGGAAGAGGCAGCTGAAGTTTCTGGAACACATAATGAGGAAGGAGAACCTGGAGAATTTGATATTCATGGGTCAAATAGAAGGAAAGAGAAAAAAGGGAAAACAATGTGTAACATACCTGGTGGGCTTAAGCAAGTGGATTACAAAATGTGGTCTGGAGGAGAAAGTAGAGGGAAGGAACTTGTTGAGAGCTGCAAGAGGGAGGTGGAGAACCATGATCGCCTATATCCTGAAAGGACATGGCACATAAAATGAAGGAAATAAATGATCTAATAACTAAAATTTTAAATTTTTCATTACAATTTTCAAAAACAAAAATCTCATTCACTTTTTAAACAGTTTTATTCTAATCATCACTTTTTAAAACAATAAACAGTTTCAATGAACAAAGCCAATTAAAATAATGATGGTCTTAATGGAAAAAACTGTCCTTTTAACACTCCATTTTTTTTGCAGGCACAAAGGTCCAAGTTTGCCACTTTTTCTTTATACATACTAACCTGTTTTGTTTTTAAATAAATGGAATGTTTTAGGATATTACTTAGGATATTACTGAATTTTATTTCTTTTCTTTTTCAGTTTTCTCGTACAAGCCAAGCTAATGCTGGAGGGTATTTTCTGGCTGGAAAGAATATGAAATGGATGCCTGTAAGTAAAAAATATATATATATATATATATATATATATATACATGTATTTGTCTGTAATACAAGTGAGGCATTTCAGAAATTTGTAATTTCAAAATAGTATTTATTAACATTTTAAATCACTATAAGAATATTTAAACCGACAACAGAGATTGTCAATGGTTACATTCATTTTCATACAAATACTCTTGAAAAAGACATAACTCCATGGTTTCTCCTCCAAACTATGAGTTAAATAACACTGTCTTATGGGAAAGTTCATACTTAGAGATTTGCATTAAATCCATATTAATCAAGGGATATAAATATTGTATTATAATTCTGCTTGTGAGTTAACCTGTTGTGTTACACCCTGCCAATATCTCATAAATAATCGACTGTTCTGTTTTGATCACAATGAAAGACGGAAAATACATATCAGATGCTGTTCAGTTTCAGTGAGAAAAAGTAAGCAAAAAAAGATAAAGAGAGAGGAGGTGATAATGCTCTCAACTGCTTAATGTGTGCTTCAGTGAAATGGACAAAAATTATCAATTTCAGTAATATATACATATTATTTGGGATGTACCTTTCCATTGAGACATTCTTGAAAAGTGGAGTTGGCAACATTCTGACTTATTGTGAAAAAGAAGCATTGGGCAATAAAATTTGAAAACTACTATATTAGAATCTACATCGAACTACCAATCATCACAGTCCCCTTTGCGTTTAAAATATCTCTAACAGAAATTATCAGCACAGAAATTGGAAATGGTGAGTCAAATAATAAATTCCAGGCTGATCTGCACAAATGGGAAAGATACGACTCCATTTCTTTTTATATGAAAAAAAACTCAAAACAACAAATTGAAGAGATTTAAACATGCTATTTGATCTAGTACTTAGAGCAGAAGTTCTCAACCTGGGGGGAATCCTGTGGGGTGGGGTCAGTGTTTTGATGTGTGATCTTTTACTTTTTTTTTTTTTATTTACAAAATTTTGTTTATTGAATTACGACACCCTATCATTCTATTGAACTTTTTATTTATTGAAGTATATTTCAGTTTATTTATTTAATAATTAGTTGTGAATTAAAACAAATTACTGTACATGTATTCAAGTTTAAAAATCCATCAACATTTTTTTTTCTATTGCTATTAAATTAGTAAAACTCCTCTATAAAAATAATACATTTAAATGTCTATGTACTAATATGGAAAAGAATGAAGATTTTCAATAATATGCGCATATTATTTTTTGGAATGCACCTTTCCAGTCAGACAATCTTGGAAAGCAGGGTGGGTGACATTCTGACTTATTGTGAAAAGGATGCATTGAGCAAAAAATGTTGAAAACTACTGTATTAGAATGTACATCAAACTACCAACTATCATCACAGTCCCCTTTGCATTTAAAATATCTCTAACAGAAATTATCAGCACAGAAAGTGGAAATGGTGAGTCAAATAATAAATTCCAGGCGTCTGTTGTGTCCACTTTTGCACATATGCACTTGGGAAAGGCGTGACACTATCTTTTACTCTCACAAAGTATGGGTTAAATGTCAGGGTAAACAGAGCTCTCTCTAGACTAGGAAAACAGGTGGAGGGTGACATTCTGACATATGGTGAAAAGAGCACATTGACATTGCATTTAAATTTTGGAATATCAAAGTTAATAGAAAAGCAAGAATCTGAAATGTCCGAAAGAAGAAACTGTTAGCATAGAACTTATGGTTACTGTTAACTATTTCAATTGTGAGATGATGACATCTTGCCAACAATCTAGTTATGTGCTTAAATTCATAGTCTAGGTATCAAAGAGGAAATGTGATATAACATTTTGTTTTTCTCAATGAGACTAAAGATAAATATGATCTAATTGGTAGCCAAAAATATTATTCAAATGACAAGTATAACTTATTTATTATATACAAAGTTGACTTTGTGCTTAAATTACCAATATATATATATTCAAATTTTTAACACCCAAGTTTCTGCTATTTGGACAGGCATAGGATGCATATATTATAAAGCAAGCATTTTGCCAGCAATAGATACCTATTTTGTAAGAAAATAATATATTTACACAATATTTATTCAGGTATTTAGATTTTTAAATTGTTAATCTGTATTAGTTTTAGTGATCTCAAAGTATACATATATAGCAAATATTTTCCAAATATAATTAATACTAGTGAATTACCAAATACAAATGTATATAGGTCCTGTATAGAAATTGTAATATAGATAATCAGTAGATAAATGTTATCAAAGCATTAACTTAATACTAATAAACTCAGGGAAATACTACTTTCATATAAAACTTTTAGTATAAATAGGTGTAAATGTCTGTTTATAAAGTAAAGTTCGTAAGTGTGCAACTTGTAAAAGAAAAGTGTAAATCTTGATAATTGTTTCAATTGTTTGTATTTAATGACAATGAACTGTAGTACGAAGAATATAAATGCATAGGCAGAGATGGATTTTAGTAGCATAAAAATGTACTTCTGAAAATAATAAATAGGAACAATAACATAGTCACACTATAATTCACCAGAGTGAATTTACTAGAGTAATGGATTGTAACTTGGATTGAGGAGTCAGAGAGCTGAGTTTGAATTCCAGTTGAGTTCATTACATTCACTTACATGCAAATACCCTTGGGAATCTATCCCTTCTTTCTCTCATCTATGCCTAAACAATAAAACAGACTGGGTTCTATAGCCTTGGGTGGAAACTAATCTAGAAGGAAAACTCTGAATTCAAAACTGTATGTAACCCTGTCAAAACACATACAATGCAGCTAAGAAAAGGATCATTTGCATTCACTCGATGATCCTGATTACAGTCAATCACACTATAATTCACCAAATGTCTTTTTTATCAATTTCTATTATCACATAAATGATAGTTGAAGTTATGGCTGAAATTTTTCTGTGGTCATTAATGGGAGGGTGTTTTAAGGTTATGTTTTGAAAATTTCAAAATATTTTAAGTTTTTAGTAAGGTTTTAAATTTACAATGTAAATATAATGCTAAACTGAACTCTTACTTTGTGTCCATTTGATTTGTTTAATTGAATCTTTATTTAGTTTTTTTTTTGTTTAACCACACTTTGAATCTTTTGTGAATACACTAACCTGTTCATTTATATTAAATTTAATCCAAGAGTTCATGATATGATTCTCTGCTGGGTTGAAAGAATAAGCCTCCAAATTCCAGCTGTAGAGAATGTTTTCAGCTAGTAATAGTGACTCTCTTGTATATTTATAAGTCTACCATTTGTCCATACTTAGAACATTTCTTCCACATATGATCTGGTGCTCCTGCTATATATTTAGAGATTCTTGATGAAATCCTAAGAAGAATCAGCAATGTTATTGGCCCTGACCTGGCATCTTAACTTCAGTCACTTCCCATTGATGTAATGTAGCTTTCCTGTGCTTTTCCTTAAATATTTTCATGGTAATTTTTCTGGTGAACTCTCCTCTATTACTAACACTATTTTCTTTAGTTTCTTGTATACAGAAGTGTACAAATTGTAAATATTCATTGGGGTTATTTTAAAAGTTATTTTATTCCACCCCCAGAAATAATTGTATGTATAGTTAAGACTTCATTGAGACTTCAAGGTATTACAAGAGTTGTGCAAAAAGTTCTATGCCTCACTCAGAAGGAGTTGGAGAAACAAGACAGTTTTTCACTATTTTTCAATATAGTCTCCTATCATCAATGCACTTGGTCCAGCAATGATTAAGAATTGCAATCCCATCATGGAAGAAAGTGGCATTCAGGTCCTCCCAAAACTCCTCCACAGCACATATGATATCATCATTGTTTCCAAAATACTGACCATGAAGGTGGGATTTGAGTTTAGAAAACAGGAAGAAGTCAGATGGAGCTAAGTCTGGTGAATAAAAGGGTTGGGGTAGCAATTCAAAGCCACAGTTGGCTGGTTCAGTTACTGCAACCTGAGCAGTGTGTATGTGCACGTTATCCTGAAGCAAAAGCTCTCAGCTTCCCTCTGCGTTTCGATTTGCATGCTTCCTTCAGATGTCTTAACCCTGATGCATAGTATTGTCCATTAATAGTTTTTTCCCTTTTCCAGGTAAATCTATCATGTTTGCACCTTCAGAATCCAAAACAATAGAAGCCATCACCTTGCCAGTAGATGCTGCCAGCTTTGATTTTTTTTTTTTTATTGAGTTGTGAACTAGACTGTTTCCACTGTTTGATTTGCATCTTTGAAGTGGTGGTACTAATATGCAGTAGAAATTTTCAGGGTCATCCTGTAAGCAAATAAGTGTCCAGGAAATGTCAACCCTTTTCAGCTTCTGCTCTGGTGTCAGCATTCTTGGGACCCATCTTGCAGACAGCTTCCTCATCCCCAAGATCTCAGTTAAAACAGTATGGAACAAATTAAAACTAATGCCTGTAGACTTAGCTGCCTGCTGGACAGTAAGATGTCTGTCATCCAAAACCATACAATGAATGGCATCAACTTGTTCATCAGTGCTTAAGGTTTTTGGATGACCTGACCAAGGGTTATCTTCTGTGCTGTCCCTGCCCCTCTTAAATTTCACAACCCACTTCTTCACAGTTGCATAAGGGAAATCATCAGCAAGTGCCTGTACCATGTCCTCATAGATTTCCTTGGGTGTAGTCTGTAACTGGGTTAGATGTTGTGTATGTATAGTGTAGGTTACCCTGTTGTTATATATATTTGTAGTATTAGTTGATAGAGGAATCATTTTACCTTTTTTATACGGAAAATAAAATGAATAAAAATGTACAAAAATAACATAAACAATAATACTCAAGACACATGTTGACATTAATAACAAGAATTTGTATTTTTCTTTTTCATGATGTGAATTACAGATATTGATATGGTGTATGTTAAAAATGTTCTCAGTGTTACTGTCTATTTTTTTTCTTTAATAATTTGTGCTTACTTGTTTTTGCTTGTTCTGAGAATTTTGTTGGTGAGGTTGATGTTTGAAATTGTCAGTTTTTGATTTTCACAGAGGGATGAAGATACATATGCATTGGGCCTTTTTACTACTGCTAATGATACAGCCACTTGATATTCTAGTCTACTCTATTGACCCTACTGTTCTGACTGCCCTTGTTGAGGTAGAAGGGTCATTTTTTTAATTAGATTTTAGAATGATAAAATATCTTTCTCATCTTTCATCATTGGTGGCAAGGTTGTTTTTAGAATGGTGAAATTTTTTATCTTTATTTCAGGGATGATGAAATATCCTTATTTTCTATCATCACTGATGGCAAGGTTATTTTTAGAATGATGAAATATCATCATTCTGGATCATAACATGTCTGCTCTGGCTTCTATTTTGTCAATTTCTAGATTTGTCACATGCCACTCACCTTTGTATAGGCCTCAAAAATTAAGACAGTAATCTGAGTTACTTTTTTCTAGTTTTATAAGAAGTGGTAATGTGTGTCTCGCTCTCTCTAAAGGGAGAAAGAACACCCACTTGCCCCCACCTGAAAAAGGATAAGCGGTAGTGATACATTACTACCCAATGGCATGAAATTTAACTCTCCCAGGCTTGCTTTGACTAAATGGCCGATGACAATGAAATGAATCTTGCCAACTGTAAATGAATGATTCTACACTTTTTTCCGAATGTAATGTGTTTTCATGTTAATTTGACATTTCTTTATTTTATCGTCTTTATGAAACATATTTTACTAATTTTTGTACTAAGAGAGTGTTCATTTTTTTCTCTGGTGTTATACCATTTACTCTGTTTCTTTCTTTTTTTTTTTTTTGGCCCACTGGTCAGGCAGATTTAACATGCTTGGAAAAAAGTTGGGAGATCTGCTTTTTTCTCTCTCTTTCAAGGAAAAATGATTTTGTTTTGTTTTGTTTTTTGTTTTTTTTTATAAAAGAAAACAAACTTAATCACTTTATTCTCCCACCTTACTGATCTTCTGGCTCAATACTAATGCTGACCCACAGATATTTTACTCACAAACAGATTGGGCAGAGGTGGGGGGCAACAATCTTAACAACATAAGATATGCAGATGACACTTTGCTAATAGTAGACATGGAATGGAAACTACAAAACCTCCTACAGAAGGTAGCAAAAGAGAGCAAGTAGAAGGGACAACTTCTGTAGCCTGGTATAAAACTCACAACTCTTTGGCTCTAGTCAACGGATCTAACCAATGTCTTTATCCACTGGGCCATGTGTCCTTACAGTAAACCAAAAAACTTGGTGAGTTGAGTTAAAGGGAAATAACGGAGACATCCTAAAGAGGCATGATACGTGGAACTAGAACAATTTACCCCGGTGGACAAAATAGAGAGTTTAATTCAAAATTCCAATCACCTGAAGAAGGCTGGAATATACAATGGCTGAAATATCATGAATATGACAATGAAGATGAGGATAACAGTTCAAATAATGTAAATATTCATAATATCTCATCTCAGCAATATAGACAAACAAAATAGATATACTAAGTTTGAATTATTTTTTCTTATTTACTTTTGTACATTAACTGATATGAGAAAAGGAATTTCCACAAGTAATGAATTAAATGTCAAAGTGCTGCACATGTCAGTTTGATCAGCCCTGAACTTTTGATAATGATGAATACTGAATGTGTAAATGAATATGGGTTAAGTTTAAATAGAAAGAAAAAATTGATTCTTAGCTATGAATAATTAATAGATATGATTTTCTTCAAATATATTTATTTATTTTTAGTCATTCTTTTATTTATTTTTCAGATTTCTGCTATTGCTTATTTGTTTATTTTATCTATTTTAAAGATTGGTGCTTCATTGTTTGCCAGCAATGTGGGTAGCATCCATTTTGTTGGTTTGGCAGGATCAGGGGCTGCAGCAGGAATAGCTGTGGGTCTTTTTGAATTGAATGTAAGTATTCTCTCTCTCTCTCTCTCTCTCTCTTTTTCTTTCTCACTTTGAACAATAGATTGTTTCTCCATAAGTTATAAATTCTTCAACATAACATGTCAAGAGCTGTTTCAATATGTTCATGAAAGGACAATTTGCAAGTTGTAATAAATGCTAACTAAAATTAAGATGAAAGCTATACTAACAAAAAAAAAATAATAATAGTCTATTAGTTTTGTCCAGTTTCTTCATTTCCCTGCTAAGGACAAATAGTTCATTGCATCTTGCAGGGACATTTGTTTAACGCATTTTTGGCGAAAACATGGACAAACATACCCACAATAAGACACGGTGACTAAAGCACAGTTTTTCTCATGACACTTTTTTTTTAACTACCTTCACTCATTGGCAATTTTTATTGTTTTAAAAAGAAATAATTAGAATTGAAATAAAACCTAAACATGTGATGAAAACAAATTTATACATTTTTGTTCTTGATAATTTGCAATAAAAATATTAAACAAATTGATTGCCAATTAGCCAATGTTTTACCAACGCATTCCAATAAATCATATAATAAATATCATTTATGTAAACAATAATAAATAGTGAAACAAAAATGGAGGGTCTTAAATATAATATGGAGATACTTTTCTGTCTGAAGAAGCCATGTTGAGGACATATTCCATGAAGAGGAAAGAGTCTTGGGTTTTCCCGAATTGGAGAATGTGAGCTGGAGTTTCTTTCTATATATGGGAAACAGCACCATGTACTTGTAAACTGCTAGGAGAAACAGATTTAGCCTCAACCCAGGCAACCACTCGATTTGGTTGCTATAAACAAATTGAATGACAGGCCATTTTAGTCACTGTATAAAGTGACAACACTAAGCGACCATCACATGACCCATGTCACTTATCTCCACCAAAGGGATATAATCACCTTCTTTTAACTAGAAAATATATTCCTACAATACTGATGAATTTAGCCTGGTTACCCTCTTGGTTTGGCTTAAAAATGGTGTCTCTTATCTGCTACAAACTGATGAAGAGTGGAGGTGGTTAAAAAATGGTGTCATGAGAAAAAGCGTCCTTCTGTCACTCCATCTGGACATAGGTCAAACTCTACTATCACCATCTGACTCTGATGTCAAAGTTCAGCATAGTAAAATAGTGGGTATTACTTTTGGAGCCATTTCCTGTATTGAGTATCTTAAATGTATAGCATTAAATAAGTTAATTAATATATATTTTATTTTGTATTTCTATTTTTATATAAAAAAAACAAATGTTGTTTTCAAAAAATATTGTTTAAAAACGGTTTTAATTTATTTATATTGTATAGCATTTCTCAACCACTAATGCCCCTTGAAAGATCGCCAGGTGTGCACCAAGTTAATAGAAGAGTAATTTATGAATTATGTTTATATTTTAAAAAAATTTTTTATTTTTAAAAAGCTAAGGACACCAAGAACATGGTTTCTCTAAGTCAAGTCTTTGTTATTCAAAATTTTAAACTGGATGCTAAATTTCTTAATGTTTAAGGAGTGAATAATACTTTCCATTTTGGCTTCCTCAAGGCATCTTACTTATTATAAAATACAGATTGTGTGTGTGTCTGTACGTTTATATATTGGATCGGATTTCCTACATTCTTCAACTGATTTCAACAAAACTTCACAGGACTGCATAAAATTACCTTTCAGTGGTTCTGACAGTGCCAAAAATTGGAAAAACAATTGTTTTTGCAGGAAATCAATTTGAAAACACAATTCTGTTGCCAGAATGAAAGGGGGACAACTCATATCGAGTTATACTTATTATAAAACCCAGGTTGTTTGTGTGTGTGTGTTCGTTTATATATGGGATTGGATTTCCTACATTTTTCAACCGATTTCAACAAAACTTCACTTTTTTTTGGCAGGTAGTGTTTCTTATTGTCTTGCACACTTTTTTCTTTATTTTTACATTCAGAATGCTTTAAAAATTACATTTACAAGAAAATTGTTTATAATAAAATTCTATTCAATCGATAGACTCATAACAATTGAAAACAATGTTTTTGTTTGAGTTTGACCAATTCGTAAAAAAACAAAAACAAAAAAAACTAATTAAGACATGCGTGTCCATCAACCTTAAACAATAATCTTTGTCAATTTTATTTTTCAGTCATTATGATGGTCAATACTTGATCTATCTCTTACTGTTGCAGTACCGGGCTCTACTGCTAGTAACATATGAAGCTGAACATTCAAAAAATTGCCCATCAAGCACATCATGCACATGTTTCACACAAGCAGACTTAAATATACAATGTAATTTCTTAAAAATAAATGTGTATTTCAGGAAGCATCTTTATTATTTTCCAATTTTCAAATTTCACAATTAATTGTTCCTTATTAAAATTTAAAGTGCAACCTAGAGTTTCAGTTATTCCTCAAGTGAACCCTGAAATAAAAAAAAAAGGTTGAGAAACACTTTTTTTTATATATATATATATATATATATATATATATATATATATATATATATATTATGCCTTTTAAATTGGGGAACATAGTGCCAAAAGATATTGTTGCGGTTTCTGTAACAAGCCAGTTTCTTTGGGTTTTTTTTAAATGAGTATGTTGTTAGCCTACTGCACAACCCCCAACCTGGAGGATCAGGTTTTGAATTCAGAATTGTTCTTCTCCTAGACAAGTTGCTGCCCAAGTCTATAAAACCCACTATGTCCTGCTATTTACCCATAGCTGGGGGAGAAGAGGATTCATACCTTTCCCAAGGGTATTAGCATTAAACTGAATATGATGTATTCAACGAATTTGAATTTGGTTCTCTGATTCTTCAATCTGAGCTGCTATCCATTACTCCACCGTGCCTCTGAAACACTGTTTTAGTATTATGTAACTTTTATACTGTAGTAAGTAATAGGATTAGGTAGTAATAACACCATACAAAAATATACACTTTCCTCTTTTCTAAGTGCATGACAAAGAAAACTCTCTCTCCTTTTCTTCTATATATTTCCTTTACTTCCTTCTGTTGTTCTTATCCTTGGTAACGGACATGAACCCAGACTTAGTTTATGTTGGTCAGTGAACGTCATAAAAAAAAATCAACCAATGACAACATGTCCTGCCAAAAATCAAACAGGAAATATGGATGTGTCAGCCCCAATAAAAAGAAGGAAACCACATACAAGACGAGAGACACCACAGTGGAAAGGAACTTGATTCGAGGTAGCAGTTTGAGACAAGGGTTGGTGATTCATCGGCTGTGAGTTTGAACTGGCATACAACTCCAGAAGAGAAAGAAAAAGAAAGAATGAATGCAACACATTAATTTCCGTCAACCAGAAGGAACACAACAACCCTGTATGAACTCTCAAATTCAAAAAAAATGAACTATAATGATAGTCAACCATTTTAAACACTGTAACTAAATGTAGTCAACAATAAATGGTAATATAGACAGTAAATGTGGCCTGTACTTTATCTCTGTATACCATACTGGTGACCAAGTCTGGATTCATGTCTATTACCGAGGATAGGAACAATAGAAGAAAAGCGAAGGAAATGTATAGAAGAGAGAGAGAGAGAGTTTTCTTTTTCACTCACTTAGTAAAGAGGAAAGTGTATATTTTCATATGGTGTTATTACTACCTAATCCTACTACAAGTATTATGTAACTTTTATACCTTTTCATTTATAGAAAATAGGTTTGATTGTAAAGTTTTGTTTATTGTATAATTTTATGTATTTATTTAGACTTGATCCATTGTCTATAACATTGCATACTTTCTAATCTTAACATTTAACCTTTTTTTGCTTACTACCTGAATACCTTCACTTGTCTTTTTCCTTAACCATGGCTAATTTGTTTCTTTAAAAAAAAGTAAAATAAATCCAGCAAATGTGGACATTCATGGAGTATCAAAATGATGTTTGTTTTTTTTTTTTTCATTGACACCACTATTATTTTTAACTACCTTCACTCTTCGGCAATGTTTATTCTTTTAAAATGTGATCATTAGAATTATATTAAAACATAAACATATGAAAATTAATTTATACATTTTCTTTGTTCTTGAGAATTGACAACAAAAATAATAAACACTATTTATTTATTAGATTGTTTATTTACACTATTTAATATTGTTTATTGGAATGATTTGCAAAACATTGGCTAATTGATGATTGATTCAAACTTTATAAAATGTAAATAATAAGTATTTCCTTATATTTGGTTCCCATATTTTAATAGTTTATTAAATATAAATTTATGAAAACAAATTGTTTTCACATTTATTTCTTCATGAATTGGTAAATGATGAATTTTGCATTGCATTAGTTTTAATTGTATTAGTTTTAAGGATGTTGTAAATATAAAATTATTCTTGTAAATAAACAATTTAATAAATAAATAGTGTTTAATAGTTTTGTTATAAATTATCAAGAACAAAATAAATGTATAAATTCTTTTTCATCATATGTTTAGGTCTTATTACAGTTTTAACCATTACTTTTTAAAACAATAAAGATTGACGAGTAAAGGTAGTTGTTGCAGGTGCTATATTGGTCTGCAAATGAATATTGAATGACAGAAGACAACAACAAATAAAATGATTACATAAGTAAAAAAAATATATATATTGCCAAGTTTATTTTTGTTAGAGAAAATACAAAAATATGGTTACAGTTCACAAGGCAAAAAATATTTCTACATTTTTGTGTAGAGGGTGAGACAAGCATTGTCCTGAAAACAACAGTTTTGTGGCTACTGAAATGCGTTATTATGAAAAGCACAGTTTACTGTATATCATTGCTGTTGGCAAGGATGGCTTGAGCTGGGAACCTGTTGGAGATGGCTGGTGCGCAACCAATGGTAAGCTGTGGCTGATGTTCATGGCTGGAACTTCTGCTGCTAAATGGCTGGAGTTGTGGACTGGCTTGTTAATATTTAACAATTCCCCCACGAAGGATGTATGTAGCACAAGGCCGAGTTTACCGTGAGTTTTCTGAG